GCAGTCACAGCCATGGGGTGAGCAGCTCTCGGGTGGGTGTGCTGGGCTGTGGAGCAGCAGGGTGTCAGGAGCAGCAGGGTGGAGGTAAATCTTCATGTCTGGCCTTGGTGCCCGAATCCTCCCAGCGTTGGAGGCTCTGGACAGCATTTGCCAGCCTGGCACGCGCCCCTGGCGTGGTGCTCACGTGCGGCCACCAAGGTCAGTGACACAGATCCCTGCAGCTGCAGCACATCCGACACCAGCGTCCAGCCAGGCTGTGCTGGAAGCTGAACCACTTGCTGCCACTACAGAAAGTGTTTGAGGGGCCTGGGGGTTTGTTTGAACATTCTTTGTCTCATTTTCTTGTCTCTCCCTTCCCTCACACCGATGCCCAACAATCTGGCTTTGGGGAGACACAAATTTCTGCCCAAGCTGTTGAAGCCCTCGTTGCTCCGTCCTGCTGTGAGGAAAGAGGGATGAGAAAGCAGCCCCACCATGCCCAAGGGGAGGCAGAGAAAGCAGCAGATCTCGAGATGAAAAAAACTTTAATGAAATATCACTGGAATCCCAGCCCCAGAGAGGCCTCAACACCTTCCCTGGGAGCCCCAGCCGTGCCCTTTCCACAGCCAGGGTGCTTTGCTTCTGCTCTGCCTGCCCAGGGGAGGCTGCCACGCTCAGTGCCACGGGTCCTGAGGGCAGGAATGGAAATGGAAAACTTCTCCCAGCGCTTTTCAGCAGCACTTGCAGCTCAGGCAGCCCCGGTAGTGCTGTGGGCCTTCCTTGTCTCTGGCAGGTGTGAGCTGCCCGTGGTTCCCAACACATCCTGTGCCCTCCAGGCACGAGGGCCGTGGGAGTCCTGGGAGCTGTTTTGGGTACTGCTACAAGACAAATCGCCTGTGCAGAAGTGTTTACAGGTATTCCCAAGCTCCCACCCCTCCCTGCTCAGGCAGTAATTGCCAGGCAGCTGACAGGGAGAATTTACTGCCTGTTGGTGTTCACAATGCAAACTCTCCCCGGGTTTGCTTCCCTTTACTTTGTTTCCCTGTTTGTTTTCTAATGCAGTGTTGTTTGGCCTAAGCTTCTTCCTTATTATGAACATGTGCCTGGCAAGTTCAGGAGGAAATCCAGGTGAAGTGGGAATGCCCAGGTATCCCTGCCATTCCCACATCAGCCATTCTCACCCTCCAGGTGCTTCTTGCACAGCCACAGGTGACCCATGATGTTCTCTTTGTCACATTTGAAGCTGTCACGTTTTGGCCAGGGGCAGAAAGGAGTGGGGAGAGCTCTAATGCCCACTTCTTCCAATGCTCTACCTCCTCCAAACACTCCTCTGGCAGAAGAAAAGGAAACGTTCAATCCCTGTCCCTGCCATCTTCCCAGTGCTGCTTTCAAATGCCAATATCAGATTCCCAGTAGGATATAAACCTACAGTCACTGTTCGTTCTCACTTCTAACTCCATTCCACATGGAATCTCCCTAAATACACATCTGCATGTGGCCAACTCTCCCCTTTTTTGGGAATCTCCCCCACCCTAGCTGTATTTAAAGCTGTCTCAAGACTCCCCAGACATCATCCCAAGCCTGAGTCCATTTTTGTCCGTGATGGGATTTGCTCCCAGCAGAAACATTTGGTCCTGAGACTCATAAACCCATTCCCAGGTGGATGCTTGATATCCTTGGAATGAGATCTGGGTGCCTGAGAGTCTCTCGTGCAACGTGGGTTGTGACTACTACACCTGTCTGTCACACGTGTGTGGGCATCTCATGGAGCATCCCAGAATCCCAGAGGCACCAGGAATGTGGGAAGAGCCCCTCAGGATGAGCCAGTGCCACCCCAGTGCCAGCAGCATCCCCCAAACCCTGTCCCCAAGGGCCACATCCAGCCTGCTCCTGAACACTCCCACAGACAGTGACTGCAAACCTCCCTGGGCAGCTCATCCCAAGGCCTGACCACTCTGCCAGGGAAATTTTCTTTGCCAATCTCCACCCTGAGCCTGCCCTGCTGCAATTTGAGGCCATTTCCTCTCCTCCTTTGCCTGCCCCTCCTGGCAGGGACTTGTGCAGAGCCACAAGGTCCCCCCTGAGCCTCCTTTTCCCCCCTTTCCCAGCTCCCCTCAGCCCTTTCCCAGCTCCATTCCCTGCCCTGGACACCTCCAGCCCTGCCCTTTCCTGCCCTGTCCATCCCTTTATGGAAGCTCAGGATGATCCCCAGATCTTTCACCACTGATCCAAGGTGTCCATCAGGTCTGACCTCCCTTGAATCACACAAGCTTGGTTTTTCTTGCAAAAGCATCCAAAGATTGCAGGAAATGTAATATTTAATATTTAAAAGCACAGGGTTAGAGAAGATGGTCTGAACGAGTGGTGCCCATGCCCTGAATACTCAGTAAGGAAATAAAAACTCCCCTAAGAGAGATTTTATTTACTTTATCTAAGTAATAAGTGTCATGCAAAATGTCCTGGCTTTTTCATGCTGGAATTTGGGCAAACCACCCTCTTTGCATCCTTCTGTCTATCCCACCTGTCCCTATCCCAAAGAGCAGCACAGAGAGCATGGATGAATAATTCCACCCTTAATACCTCACCTTTTGTAATAAAGCACAAGATAAAAATATGTCCTCATGCATTCCATATACATATGCAAATGCAGGTTTTCTTTGGGAAAGATTTTGGGAATGTTTGGGGGTTGTAGCAGAGTGGGGATCTGCTCCCAGGGAACAGGGACAGGACAAGGAAAATGTCCTCAAGCTGTGCCAGGAGAGGCTCAGGTTGGACACCAGGAGCAATTTCTCCATGGAAAAGGTGGTCAGGCCTTGGAAGGGGGTCACAGCTTGGATTCCATGATCTGGGAGGGTTTTTCCAACCTCAATAATTCTGGAATTCCATGAAAAAATGTCCTGCAGTATCTCAGAGGCTCCTGAAAAAGAAACTGGCTGGGTGTGGCAGGGTTAAGGAGGAAAATGAAAGACAAAAAAATGGCACTTTTAGAAGCTGAAAATAACCAGTCAGAGCCTCTCCAACCACAGATATTTTGGGTTTTAGCAGTCTCTTGATTAGGCTGGACTAAACCTCATTTTGCAGCAGGCCCTCTGTGCACCACAGAAAGCCAATTGTCTCCTCTTACTAAAAACTTCAATTTCCAACTGTGACACGTTGCTCAATATCAAAATAAAATCAAAATTTATCACAGTTTTAGGACTGGGATGATGGTTACCTCCAGCCCAGGATCAGGAGAGATATTTGGAGGTGCTGGTAGAAAAGAGGAAAGAGGAATTGCCCTGCCAGGTGAGGTTTTGTTTGCCTGGCTATGGGCAGGAGTGTAGGACAGGTGCAGTCCTGTTCTTCCTGCAATTTCCTCATTTCTCCAGGAGGTTTGTCCATCAACACCACACATTTCAGGTGGGTTTAGCATTTAGGACTAGGATATA